ACCCACTCTCCCTCCACCCTCCCAGTATCGCCACTCACATCACTGGTCCTGAAGGGATCATCCGTCCTGGATTCCCTGCCTGTGTTTCCAGTTCCTATCTGTACCAATGTACACCCTCTGGTCTAGCCAGATTTGTAAGGTAGAATTGGGATCATGATAGGGGTGGTGGTGGAGGAAACATTTAGGAACTGGAGGAAAGTTGTATTTTTCATTGTTGCATGAACCCCTTTTTAAATGTGCCATTTACTGGCTCTTAGTACCTTCACCATGGTGAGCGCCCTCTAGTCTCTAGTTCCCAAGCATTTTCATCCGCCCCAAAGACAACCCCAGACCTGTCAGTCTGTCCCACTCCCACCAACTCAGCCCACCCCCCACCCGTCTGCTGGTTCTATTGACCGGCGCACGATGTACTCTGGTATCTTCTAGACGTCCTCACAGCCCCCCAAACTGGCTTCCTGGCCCTCTGTGCAGTGGCTACTTTGGCGAGGAGCCCCGGGGGTGTAGTGGATTTGTGTTGGGCTGCTAAACCACATGGTGGACAGTTTGAACCCCCACCGGGCTCATCCCCACTCTGAGCGAGAAGATGAAACTTTCTGTCTGCCCCCTCGAGATTGACAGCCTCCCGATGCGCAGCCAAAGGGACAGCGGCCACCTTGCGTCTTCTCACTCTGGAGAAGCGAATGAGACCTAGAACCAGGGAGACGTGGTAGCACAGGGGGATAGACAGGAGTGGGATAAGGGGTTCCGACAGTGCCCCCCAGCGACCAGGTAGACAACCAGGGACCTGAAGGTGCTCTTGGTGAAAAACCAGTTGGCACCGGGTCCATGCTGACTCGTGCCCCCACCCCCACCCCCCTCGTGTACCAGAGTAGCCCTGCTCTGTTGGGTTTGCAGCGCTGATGGGTGTGTGTGTGTGGGGGGGGGGGGGCAGAGGTTGCTAGGTCTTTCTTCCAGGGCACCTCTAGGTGGATCTGAACTTCCAACCAACCAATCAAATTTGTGAACTGTTCCGAGCGACCGAGCAATTCGCTGGAGCAGAGAAACAAGGAAACTGGGGGACAGACAGTGTGGAAACTCTGGGAGGAAGAGCAAGGAAGGGCTGGGCAGACGGACAGAAGCTGGGGGAGGGTGGAAGGAGATGCAGCCTCCCTCTTCAACGACCCCGTCCTTCTTTTGCAGCCCACCTGCTCTCCAGGACCAGCCCTGCCCTCTGGCTGAGGCTCAGAACCAGACCCTGGGAGGCCTAGCTCCTCACCTGCCCGGGCCCCAAGGAAGCTGCCCCACCCTGCCCCTTTCCCTGGCCTGGTGGGGCTTCGATGTGGGGCAAGACTGAGCCACAGGGGAGGGGGGAGGGCACCCATACCTGCTGCTGCTTCCTCTGTCTTGGCTGACCTTTATCCTTGCCTGAGACCAGGGCCATGCGGCCCCAACTCCTTGCCTGGCTCTGCCACTGTGAGTGCGTGTTATTTATTGCCTGGCCGCCTGCTCTGCCCTCACCGCACACCCATAAAGCATCGTCTACACCCGTGTCTGGGCCTCCATCACTTTGGGATGTGGGGGAGGGAGGGGACCCTGAAGAAGTCACTGGTGGAAGAATGGGGCCTGTCATGGGTTGGGGGCGTGGGGGGTGGGGGCTGGTGTGCATCGTCTGAGTTGGGCATGAGCTGGAGTACGTTTAGGGTACACCAACAAGAGGCAGGTGTCTGTGGTGGGAGGGAGGGGCTTTGTCACCAGGGGGGATCTTTTCGAATGTGCGGGTCTGAGGCTTATGTGGGTGTGGGTCACACGGATGTCCCTGCATTATGACGTGTGTGTGTGTGTGTGTGTGTGTGATGCTTGACTGCCCTGTCCCCTCCACGAATGTGCTAATGAGATGACACTCAGGTCAAGACACGAGATTTTGGGCCTGTTGTCTGTGCCCGGAGAGGAGCTTTGGTGGTGCACTGGGCTGCTAACCACGGGGTCAGCAGTTCAAAAACCACCAGCTACTCCAAGGGAGAAAGATGAGGTGTCTTCTCTCTGAAGAAGTTAGTCTCCAAAACCCAAGGGGGCCGTTTTACCCTGTCCTGTAGGGTCATCATGAGTCGGAAATGACTTGGCAGTGAGTTTGGTCTGTGCCCCCTGGGACCTCTTAGTGCCTGATCCCTGAAAGGGCCGAGGCAGGTGACTCCCATGGGTGTCCTTGCAGTGTGTGTCTCCCTAGATCCAGTATGCAAGCCTGCCGTGACCTGTGTGTCTGTGACACTGATGTTGGGGACGCACCACCAGGCACGGTGTAACTGTGCCCTGTTGGCCTTAACCAACCCCTCTGGAGGCCTGGTATGCAAATGAGCCCATCTGCATCGTCCCTCTGGCTGGGCTGCCCTCCATGCTCCTGGTAAAATGCACTGCGCTTGTGTCTAAGGAGCCCTCACGGTGTAATGGGCCAGGCACTGATTTGCTAAGCACAAGGAGGGTCAGCGGTTTGAACCCGCCATCTGCTCCACAGGAGAAAGATGAGGCTGTTTTCATAAAGAACTATTGTCTTGGAAGCCTGAAGGGGCAGTCCTACTCTGTGCTCTAAGGCCAAGCTGAGCCTTGCGCATAGTTTAGGTACGTAACTCTCCTCGGTTCCTTATTCTGACTCCCCAATTGCCTGGAGTGGGCAGGGCCAGTTGAGTTAGACAAGAGAGGTATTTGCATATCATTTCTAGTCTGATTTCACTTAAGGACACTTAGCACACATCCACATCGTGATTAACAAATTTGCAAAATAGTGACTGCCAGGCTGATTTAATGCACATCCCAACCAATTAAGGAAACGATTTCTCAGTGCTTGGACTAAGGCGCTGTGGCAGCATAATAGGTTACTCAGGCGGCTAACCACACTGCCGGTGGTTCAAACCCACCAGCCACTCCCCAGGAGAAAGAGGAGGAGGCTTTCTACTCCATCAAAATGTACAGCCTCAGAATCCCTCGGGGGTAGTTTTACTCTGCCCTGTGAGGTTGCTGCAATGCAGTGACTGATGTAATCTGCCTCTTCCAGCCATAGCTTTTACTTCCACCCAACCACCTCCGTAGTCCTGATAGGTCTGGATAGGAAGGTGGAGGGAACATACTGATGGGGTTACATAAGCCAGCTGTGAGGGATTGTTAACAGGGTTAAGTGTGATGGCCTTCCTGCTGGGTATAAAATAAGCCATCTCAGAAACAGCAAAAGCGAATCTCACTATCAGCAGAGGAGAGGAACGAGGAGTGGAGCACATCCTTTGGACCTTGTCCTTTGGACCCCCAAAACCCATGTGCATTAACCCTCCTCGGTCCAGGAGGCAGCTCCCGCAGCAGCAGCAGTACCGGGAGCCAGAGCACGAGACAGAGCGGTGTGCTTGACAATCCACACCGTCAAGTCAAGCTGAGTGCTTTGGGGTAGGAAGCTGGCTTTTGGGGGGCTGCCTCTGGGCACTTCATTGCGGGAGCTGGGTGCCTGTTGGGTTGAGGCTTCCAGTGCAGTGACATGCTCTTGAGTAGCCCTGAAAGGGCTTTGTAAAATTGCCCGACAAAGACAGATCGTAGGCTGTGGGGTTAAGGGGAAGAGGGAACCCCACAAAACATCACAGGTTTGGTAGGCGCAATTGTACAGCGATAATAAGTAGAGATTATAGTAAAGTCATAGAGAGCATGAGAGTTAAAGGATAGAGTCAAGTAATGGAGTCAGACGCAATTCATGGTAGCATAGGTCACCTCAGCCCGGCTTGATGGTCCTCGTGGAGGGGGCTTAGCCGTCAGAGAAGAAGCCGCTGCTTCGTCCTCCTTAGCCACCTTCTCCAGCCACCCTCTCGAGAACCAGGAAGCCTCATTATTTATTGCTAACCACACATCATAGAGTCATACATCACAGAAAGGGGCAATACAATTCATTCTAGAACAAGTTTGATCACTCTAATGTCTCATATAATAAAACAGACAATTACTATTCTGGGAGGCATGCAAGTTCCCTGATAGTGGACAATAAATAACCTGAGTCACCAGGAGGGGTATTAACATAGGGGTAGTAACATAAGCAATATAATCAATAGGAGGGGAATCACCTAGGGGTGTGCCCACATTGGTTGTGGAATAAACAGTGGTGTCTGCGTGATCTAGACAGCTGATAATGACTATCTAACCTTGGTCACCCTTGGGCGGGTTTGCCCTCTCGTATCTCTTGCAAGTGAACAGACCACCATTATCCTTATCAGAAGGGAGTGGGTCTTATTCAGGGTGAGTCAGACTAATAGTCTAGCCACTATAGATGGCTGATGTTAAGGAGAATAACCTCTGACCTACTTTCGCTGATCACCTATTGTACAGTCACTCTTAAGCAGCTAAGTCTGGTACGTATTTTGGGGAGACAACTTAAGAGAAATCCTCTGTTCCCCACAGTAGGCCAAGAGATTGAGGACCAGAGAGAGACCTACCTGGGAGCATGGCAAGGAATTTTCCTGACCGAACAATTGTATCCCGGGCATTTCTCACCTGAACTGTGACCTGTTAACTTCCCTAGTAAACCCCATAATCACCAGCCTGGTCTGTGACCTTCCGTATGGCCATGACAATGAATTACAGAAGCCAGCTGAAAAAAAGAGTTCCGTGGAAGGGAGAGTTGGGGTCAAAATGAGTCAGCAAGGTTGGAGGGTGGGGGCAGATAGATCTGAGCTGCTTGTCCGATGCCCTCAAGTCAGTTCCAATACGCAGCTCTGTGCCCGGGAGAACAAAACACTGCCGGGTGCTGTCCCGTCCTGTCCTCACAGTCGTTCCTGTGCATGAGGTCATTGTTGCCGCCATGGGGATGGCCCTCTGCTTTACCAAGCATGATGTCCTTCTCCAGGAGCTCGTCTTTCCATGGCGGGTGTGTGTGTGTGTGTGTGTGTGTGTGTAGAAACCCATACCGACGGTGGTGGCATTCCTTGGTTTTCATCAGCGAGTGCCTGAAGTCCTCTTCACTTTGAGCCAACAAAGTGGTGTCGTCTGCACATCCCAGGTGGTCAATAGGCCTTCCTCCAATCTCGGGGGCGTGTTCTTCTGCATAGAGTCCAGCTTCTATGGTGATCTGCTCGGCACACAGATTGAGTAAGGACAGTCCGAGGAGATGCCGCCACACCCAGCTTCCCTGATGTTAAGCCCTTGTTCTATTCACACACTGCCTCGTCGTCTGACCTGAGCTTCAGAGAAGTAGGTTTGGGGCAGCGGATCTTGATGACCGTGATCTTTCTTGCCCATTTGTGTGGCTGGAGGAGCGCACGCATCCCCCAGCGTCCTGTCCCCTCATGACAATGACAAGGAGCACGCAGCTCGTGGCACCATGGGGGTTTGGAAGAGAAGGAGGGAGCATGGGACGTGAAACACTTCAGTTACTGTTCCCTGTGATGGCTAAAGGAATGTAAGAGATGAGAGCTATTTCTGGAGTGGCCTGGGGCAACCCTTTGGTTAGCACGATGATTGATTGGGGGGGGGGGCAGACCTTACTGGACCCACCTGCCAGAGTCCCATAGAGACATAAATGGACACAATCCAGGGATGGAGACAAGATTAAAGGTGAGTCTTTTTTAAAGGGGTAAGAGTTATATGCTTATCAGACTACAGTGAACCCTCGTTTATCATGGTTAATCGGTTCTAGACCCTACCGTGATAAATGAAATTCCGCGAAGTAGGATTCCTTATTTGTAAATCAAATATTTTCGTAGTTAGAGCATAGAGGACATGAAAAAACACCCTTTAGTCACCATTACACTCGTATTACCCAATTTATTAAACGAAAAAGGGAAAATACAGTAAAACATTTTGGATGTTACAATGATCATTTATTATTTATTATATTATTTATGGCATCAAGCGTGTACAGTATGAGCCAATCAGTGGCAGTAATGACAGAGCATGCGCTGTTACGCAAAAACCGCGATAGAGTGAAGCCGCGGAAGTCGAAGCGCGAAGTGGCGAGGGTTCACTGTATATGTTTTAAAGGGGTGAGCATGATAAGAGTTATATGCTTATCAGACTGAACAATGTGAGTGTTTCTCCTACCCGGTGTGGTCACATACACCTACATACGTGATGGAAATGAACAGGATGATCATGATTCCAGAAAGCTTGTAAGCTCGCCTTCAGCCTGCACTGGTGGAGATGCTAAAAAGGGGAGCTAGGCATTACCCAGAAGGAACAGGTTGTATTGAAAGCCAGGAGCCTATGTCGAGTGGGGAGAAGAAGGGCTTAGGCGGGAACCGGAGCCCCACTCAGACCTGCTCGGAGAAGAGGAGGTTTACATTTGAGAGCAGAGCCGCAAGGGGAAACATGAACAACAACAAAAGAGAGGACTCTGGGTTTGGGGCAAGCGGTTTGCCATTGGATGCATCAAGGCAGGAAATAAATGCCCCTTTTAGGACTGATAGAGGGAGCCAGCAAGCAGACTGCCCGATGGGCTTGTTTGGTAACCACCTGGTTCGTTTGGTTGAAGGAAGGGAGATGCCACGGTGAAGAAGGGCTGGGTTTAGACATCTTTCCTTGGTAC